AGATTATTTTGAATGTGTTGTTTGAGAATTACTTTCCATTGAATTCTTTAAATTCCTCAAATCCGTATTCCGCGCGAGCGATACAACATCAAAGGCCTACAAATTCACTTGACGCAGAAGTTGTTCGCAATCGCTCAATGGAATCCATTGACTTGTAAATCAATACATTACAAACTGTTGCAATTTAAAAAAAAAAACATCGAATCGCGTTAGTTTCATTTTGCATTTTTGGATACTGTTGTAACGACAGGATTGACAGTTTAATAATGTTTATATATGCCTATCAATTGCTTTTGCCTTGCCTTGATACGTAATATTTTTTTCTGTTTTAACATAGAGCTTTTAATTATTATACGTTATAGAATATTTTACCTATCAGGTAAATTCATTACACATATCCGCTAGGGGAACTAATGGGTATACGTAACTCCAATATTGTTTGAACACTCTGTTTAATGATTACGTTTCCACGTATGGATTAATAATTAAGCTTTCATAGAACTAGTTGTTTTAGCCAGAATAATGTATTACCGGATATCGGTTTTTGTGTCTTTTTCACACTTACCAAGTTCTGAGTACTTTAGCAATTTTTGCTTTTTAGGCGATAGCTGATAATGCAGGGCTTAATAGGGTACGGCGGTTGACGGATTCGATTCTCACTACATTATATTAATCATATTTGTCATAATAACATTATAATTAATTATTAATAAGTGAATATAAGCATATTATAATTAATTAGTATTTATCACATTTGTGTTTACCTACATTTGTATATGTACAACACAATGTAATTTTAAGCTTAGGGTCCTTAGAGAAGAGGGCGTATTGCTTCCTTAAAGGTCGCATTCGTGACTCTGATGTGGCGAATGGGTAGCGGTGAACACTTATCATCAGGTTGTCCGTCTGATCGTATGCCTTCTTTTCCATAAAAGAAAAAAACTATTTCTAAGAATTTCTAAAACCCAAAACAGGCTATAAGAAAAAAGGAAGACAAAGCTGAAATCTGTTCAGTAATAATAATGCGTGTAACAATGACGGAAATTATGCACGCATCTATGTGTAAACAGCTACAGTCTTTATTTTCAATTGTTATATATACATTTAATTTCAACTGCGAGTTAAAAATATAATTTTAGCCCTAAATTCGTCAAGTTGCATTTCCTATCGTAATTTCCATAAATATTTTTTCACGCACATTTATACATAAAATACAGCCTGTATCCAACTTGAGTAACATATTTTGCAAATTCTGTAAGAATTCTTTTCACACAAACTTTACAATCTTCCATCATAATGTTAGTATTGACCAAAAAGTATAATAGTCAAAAAGGCATGTCAACACAATTAAACGTGGTATGAGAGATGTATTTCATTATTGAGAGTTTCTTGTAGTTTTAAAAATTCTCACATAGACTCAATAATACTAGTGAAATTTATATAAAACAAAAATTCGCACACTGAAACAGATGAAAATACGAATCCGAAATATATGAAACTAGTGACATTGATTATAATCAATACAGCTGTTACAAGTTTATCGACACTAATACATACATACATACGTCTTGACTTAAGGGGATGGAATTGTAGAGAAGGTAGCGACAGTTTTATCGCGATATCAAAAGAATCATTGGGATCGTTAAATGTTGAAATCCTTGATACCGTGTCGGATAGCGGGCAATTTACTTTTGTTCCGTTTTTTATGAGACGCTTTGTTGATAGCGTTCTTAGTTAAAGTGGTTAATGTTTACTGCCTAGGAGCACTTACTTTATGTCACATATATACCTACGTATTTATAGACATCACATAATGCTTTGATGGCAAACTTATTCATATGTAATGAATATTTGTATAAATGTGAATTTATGTGATGCCATGCGTGTTTAATATGAACATGAACAACCAAATGTTGAACATGCCTTTCTGATGTGCCTTCATTGAATAGGTTGAACACAACTTTTGCATCGCTACTGCGTCATTGTAAAATAAAACTAAAACTTAACTTTATGATAATTAAGTAAAAAAAACAGTGTTCTATCACATTATACACTAGTTGTACTGCGGCCACACAACAGTCTTCACTGTTGGAAGAATGGCCAGGTCTATCCGGGGAAGTACCGCGATCTTACTGAAGACGATCTTAACGACGACTTCATTAAAAAGTGGAAACGCATCTGCAAGCCTACGGCTGTTGCTAATGTCCAATGGCGGTGGATATCACTTAGCATCAGGTGAACCGCCAGCTCGCTTGCCACCTTCTAACATGAAAAAAATAATTTTCATGATATGTTATTTCTTTGCAATTATTGGTGTGGTTAAAAGTTACGGGACGTGCTGATCTCAACTACGTCCTCCAATCGGTGATTTGATTATAGTTCTACGGAATACGTTCACTGGGTTCCGCAGAACTATAATAAACCTATTCAATATTTCAGGACGGCGCTTAATTAATGGTCTCGAATCGTTTGATTCAACCCAAAATAGCCGACTGGACAGCCGCTGATTGATGACACCGATATATATCGCGTGTAATTATACTAAAAATAACTGTTTAAAACAGATTTAATTTCTTATTATTACATTGTTGGACACGTAAAAGTTTAAACAATGAAAGTCAAAAGTCAAAATTTCTTTATTCGATATAGGTTTATTTCAAGGTCTCGTTGAACGTCAAAAACTTCTACTACCGGTTCATTAAAATAGACCTGTACCGGAGAAGAACCGGCAAGAAACTCTGCTGGTCTGGTACTTTTTTAATGCTTTGTACAAAATTATTTAAGTAGGAACTCAACAGCAACCAGGGAATTTACAAGCCGAGCAAGAGTCATTGCCACAATCACAAGGATTGTGGAAATGTATTCTTCGCTTGTATAATTTGCTTAAATAGATGCCGTAGTGGCTCACATGAACCCCAGTCAGAAACAGCCCGTGGGTATCATTTGCTTTGCAATACAAATACCGTGTCTAAACCGAAGGCGTGACCTCAAAGTAAAACACCATCTGACATAATGCTGAAATAAACATTATAAAACAATCTAGCTGTTGCCTCGTTCGTTAGCTACCTGATCTTGCGTATGGCAAAGATGGAAGCGCTCAACTTCTTGGCTTCTCTAAATAATCTTCTTAATTTATCTCCATGACTCGCTATTGCAACTTGCAGTCAATGCATATTCCAAGAAATGCTTTAGAGTCCTCAAGGGGTGAGATTTTCTAATCAATACTGATTCCCGGCAAACAATGATTCTGAAGGAACCGACAAAAGGCATCTTTCGTTCAGTAGGTATCTTAGTTTACATTTTACGCTTCACTCTGCACCGTTTCAGATAGCGCGCGATATAAAAAAAACAATCACCCGATTAGCGACCGGCGAATGTGCGTTTTTGATGCGTACGGTAATAGAGATACGTGCCGCCGATGAAAGGACTTCGGCCATTAATGGAACTAACAATGCAACATCAATGTTATCCGAACGAATGTTTATTGTTCGAGACCCGAGTTCGGAGCTTTTGTGCGGATGAGGAATACGAATAAAAGCTCCGATATAATATAGACATTGTTTTCTTTGTATAAAGCACGGTGCCTTGTGGCCAGTGTGTTTGGCCATAGAGCGCTTGGGAATACTATTCAGAGTACAATAAAGTACGCTGCGCTATTCTGATCTGGGTTTAAAATGCTGCAATAAATGACTGTTCGAAACCGAAGTAGAAAGAGTGCATCATGTAAGCTATTTCGTCATCAAACCATTGAATTTCGGGGAACTACCGCGTACTTATCCGCCATTAGACTATAGAAGATCCTGTTGTCATTTGGGAGTTGATATTTTTTAAGTTTTTCTGGATTGTATTAAAATGTATCCAATTATCCATGATTGTAAAGCTTACGTTCTATGCTGTTTCGTCAAAAACTTCATTTTTTAAATTCTTATTAATTATTTTTTTATTAATAATTAGTTACTTAAATATTATAAGTCATCACGGCGTTGTGCTGACTAATAATATTTTATTACTAATTATTTTATCAATTAGTAGGTACGTATTATTGTTATTAAGTTTCTTTCTATTTTAGTTTAAAATATTTCCACATTCAACGGCACAAAGCACACACAACGATCATAAAAAATATTATCTCAATGACATCGAACCCACCACATTACTCGTATTATTGTAGACAAAAGTTGGGTATTCATCTCCATTCGGTATACTTCGACATGGTCATCGCGAGGTATCTAGCCGTGCGAATCGAGGAATAGCGTTAATCTTTGCTTCGGCGTTATAAACGTTTACTGCTGACATGGGTTATCTAACTGGAGTTAATAATGATTATTACATAGGAAACACATTCGGATTTTATAAACAGTACGCTGAACAGCCGGGCTGATGCTTCTAGTGTACGAATACACAGACCGTGGCAAGTGAAAGTGCTGCACTACTGCGTTTCGTCTGGTGAGAGAGGTAGCCAGGCCCAATTTATTTAAAGTAGCCAACGCATTTGCAACCCTACGGGTGTACCTTATTTTGCATTTCGTCTATCTACTAAGGTGGCACTTACCAGACGAAACAGATTCACATCCTAAAACGTTGACAGCATGATTGCGACACCGTGGATGTTGTAGATATACAGAGGCGGCGATAATTACTTAATGCAATCTCAACCGTCATTTCGTTAGCCACCTGCCCGTAGAGAAACATTTCACGTGGTCGTCTCTATGCTCTCTTTTGCCCAGTTCCTATATTCAACGAACGGCCGTTAGTTACATAGCTTCGTTACTTTCATAACGATTTGTAGGTAAAAAGCGTGCACGCTCGGTTCCTATATTAACAAAACGAGGCGTTTCCCTTACGAGTTGTTGCCATTACCTACGGAAAGTGAGGTAGTGGCGTTCCTTTAATTGACAAGTCGTTATGAAAGTAACGAAGCTATGTAACTAACGGTCGTTCGTTGAATATAGAAATCGGGCGTTTATCGTTTAGAGAATTTAGGTGTGTGTTGTTTGCAGCATCGTGCGGCTGTTCGCGCAGAACAAGGAAGACAAGAAGCGAGTGGAGAAGGCGCTCAGCGAGTCGGGACTACCGGCGGGGAAGAACGACACCATCAGCCAGTCCAAATTCCAGTTTGAGGATTTCTTCGCCTTCTACAAGAGCCTCACCCAACGTACCGAAGTCCTCAAGATCTTCAACAGTCTGTGAGTACATTCTTAAGATTACGCAAAGTGAGTGTATTGTGCTAATTATGAAAATGCTATAGTTAGATCTGGTTGCGTGGGATAGTGACCGTTTGCACGAGTATAATTATCCTTTCTCACATTTAAAATCTTAATATATTACCTATATTTGGCCATTTCGCTAGGAAATGTGAAAGGTCTCTATGGGTACCAGAAAGAATCTTGTGTTGTCCACATTTCGTCAAGATTTACTGGACCTAGGGAGCATGCAAATATGTAAAGGCAAAAAGCATCCATCTTCGTATGCTTTCACCGCAAGTTTAAGGCGGTCGCCTTTCTTTTGCATTTATTCGATCCCGGACAAATATTTGTGTGATCTCTGAATAGTTCCGCTTTTGATTGTGCTATGCGCCCGTGATTCAATATCATTGAGAATTTGTGATATTTGAATTATTTTCCAGTGCAAAAGTCGTCTAGAAAAATAAACCTCAAGTAACTAAATCCGCTACAGCCTCTTATCTGTGTCTACTCGGTTCTTCTATGTATTTTATTGCTGAACTCCAAAAATAGCAAAACTTTCATTTTACTTGCATAAAATTTGATTCCGGATTCCGCAATTAATTGAATTCGGCAAAATGTTCACCAACAAGATATTTATGATATGAAACGGCATCCGTATGTCATCAGTTCTTTGTTCAGCTCGTAACGTTTTCCGAAAGTCGGTGGTGCGTTAGCGCGACAGGTCGCCGAAATAGCGCCGTCGAAATTCGACATTTATCGTTTATTTCGCCGTACATCGTGCGACGGATGTGCGTACGTATTCCGCGAGTGCGAGTGACGTAGCTTTCGACCGTTCATCTCTTTATTTTCGGATGTTTTCATTCGTTCGCAAAAGGTTGATGAACGAACACGCCCTCGCACCACGGAACCCCCGCGTAATTACGTTCGTTCAGTGCAGGGATTCCCCCAAGTGCTCTCGCAACGGAACGCTTCGCGAAACCTGATTTTTGAGGTTATACTTCTTTTGGAGCGTTTGGAAATATTATGAGAGTAAAATTTTCACGATGCACGCACACCGACTGCAGAAAAGCGACATAATGAAGTTGGTTGCAAAGCGACCGACAAACTTCACGGTATTACGATGGCAACTAATAACAACTTTTGGACATTTAGCATAATTCCAAGTTATTTAATTAAACCGTTATCAATTGCATTTAACTTTTGACAAACAAAAATTACTGGAATAGGAGATAACATTTTAAGTTATTTTTCTTAATTACGTTTAACAAGTCTAACTTCTTACGTGCGTACATAAGGACACACAAATTTCCTAAAGTGATTTGAAATAATTTTCGTGTCACAGAAGGTCTCCCAAACATTAAATCATGGACACACAGTACATTCAGATTGGAAGCAACTATTTATAGATTACAAAATATTATTACGAGTGAAATATGTAGCTCCATTCAGTTTCAACGGAACAATGGTATTGCGAATTATGTAGATTAAGGTATTTCTCTGTGTTTGATTTATTACATTTTCTTGTTTTTCCGAATGTAGTTTTCCTCGTTCTTGTGCCGTTGACTTGCTCTAGCACCTATAATGCCACTTTAACAATCTTGGATTATTTGAGAAAAAAGCGGTTCCATATTTTGTTTGATAGATTTTTTTTATCCTTAAGTGATTCATGACATTGCAAGATTACGTATGCTCAATTTCCTTCTACGAGTAATTTGGCGCATCACGATAGAACGTCTCGCACTTAGACGCCGTGGCGCAGTTGCCAAGGTATTGGCTTCGGCTTCAGGGGTCGTGGGTTCGATTCCCACACGGGAAAACTATTTGTGTGACCCACAGATTGTTATTCCGCATCTTTGTGTTTGTCCACGTGACAATTATGTTTGTAAAACGTCCTTACAACACAGGATAATGTTATCCTAAAGTAAGGGCAATGTTAAAAAAAAAACCGTAAACTATTTTCGAAGACCCAACATAACTTGCATTATATTCTTTTATTATTTTAGTCAATGACAAAGGCGATACATCCAAAACTTGAACAAAATTTATTATATTGAACTATATTCGTTTTGTTATAGAATTGTACTCGAATTGTTTTCCGATATAGTACACAGCGGGAGGTGTTGCTATTATTGCGTTTCATTGCCTCGTATCAATTCAAATACAAAGCAAAGTGCTTAGAATCAATACTTTATTAAGATAGTAGCGACGTTTCATGATGGCAGTCGTCGTATGAAGAATACGCTAATATTTGTCGAGTTTGAGTGGCAATAAACGTTATGAATAAATGAGCGCGACATTATTTCTGACGGAAGAAAGGGAAGTAATGTTTCTGTTATGTGACATTCGAGAATACATTTCACTCAATGTCCACTTCACAAATATATGAGTCGTTCCTTTGTATTTGTATTAAAGGTTTATTCAATGAAACATGTAATAACACCTATTATCTTTGAATAAAACTTTAAAACTCTCCATGGATTAGTGTCAGTGCTGCTAAAGTTAAGGTGAACGGTTTTAATGAGACGAGTGGCGATTTTGATGGATTGAATTTTTAATACTCAAACAGTAGGACACTTAAACCTCCTTCGACAAATACAAATTAAATAATGGGATTTAATCCAATTAAATAAAAATCCGGAATAATTACCTGTATACCGAGCGCAAAGAGTGATCGTGCTTGTCCCGAGTAGGATTTGATCCCAGGACATTGACAGTTGTGCCAAACTGATAATAACAAAATTACACTTGTACTATGGTATAGTTTAATAATAAACTTGTCACTTTGGCAATGAATTTGGCTAACCAAAAGCAATTTACACTCTAAATTATAAGTAAAGAAAAAAAAATGCGATAGGAATAATAATAGTTATACAAGCAACCCGAAAAAAAAAAATTCGTTGTACTGCGCTTACATCTGCTCAAGACAGTGCTTATATAATTTGAACGTTAGATATTTTAACGTTAACATTGTATTAACTTTAAGTGAAAATGTCTAGAATAAAACAACTTAGAACTGTTGCCGACCAATAAGAGCAACAAAGTCTCCTCCGGCGTTATTAGCGCCAGTCGTCCGGAATTGGGAAATTCCCGAACGTCCGGCAAGCTTCCTCCCCGCGAATATCGCATAAATCACTATTTACGAACTTCGTCCGCGCAGCACCGACAACAAGCCCCACCTGTCGGCCAACCAGTTGGTCGATTTCCTGAACGACGTACAACGGGACCCCAGGCTCAACGAGATACTACACCCCTACGCCGATATACAGCGGGCGAAGGACCTCATTAAGACCTACGAATACAATAAGTACCATCAGCAGCGATCCCAGCTGACCTTCGACGGATTTCTCAGGTAGGTGATGTTTATTTTTTATCCGAACACTTTGCTACCCTTCTTACAGCCAGATTTCATGTTTGCCGCTGTAATATTGGTTCCATTTTTGACTGTAACATTTTTGTATATATTTACACTGACGTTTAGTTGAAGTATTAATAAACATAGATATCTCAATCAATGATGTAGAAGAAATGTGAAATGATTGTGTATAATTATCAACTTTCGCTTACATTCTGATCATATTGTGGTGTAAGTTTTCTAAAATAATTAAAAAATTTAATAAATTGACAAGCTTTCAGTAGAACGTAAAACATATCGATCTCTCCTGTGGTTTATGGAATAGTTGCGTTAAATTGACTGCAGAATTCCATTCGACTGAGATAAAGATTGTAGAATACTTTTATAAATAAAGTTTAATACAGTATGCATATGCGAATTCTTATTTTTTTTCTATCCGCACGCCGTGGGCTCATCCGACAGGCGTTATACGCCAAGCCACATCTCTCCGGCGCGGCATTATCTGTCGCTTTTTTATTTTCTTTTAAAACAAATAGTGTGAGTAACGCCCGTCAAGAGTTCGAAACCGAAACACTTCAAAGCTTTGCATTAACTGGGACTTCGCATTTGTTGAAGACGTTACGTTGAACGCGTATACCGATCGTTATTTACTGTTGTGATTAACGTCTATTAGTAAATATGGTCTACGTCAGGTATAAATTACTCTAGCACTGAATCGCTTGTTTGCGAATTAAATTTATTTGCTCTCGCCTTCGTCTGTTGTCGAATAATCATGGTGAAGGGGACTATGTATCAATTTTAAGGTTAAGACGACGAATAATTTATAGCCAGCTAAAACCATGGCAGCCAATATCAAATTTTTGACAACAACATGTAACTGAATTAATAACAATAATATAATTAAACCGTTATCAATTGCACTTGATGTCTGTTTGGCAAACAAAGTTTATTGGCACATAGGATAAAATTTTTAGTTATGTTTTTTTGTTACGCTAAAGAAGTATAACTTCTTACGTGCGTAAATATGTACAAACATTTTTCTTGCATTCTTGAGTCGTTTCAATCATGGATATCGTTATGTAAGAATATCGTTGATATATAAGGAAAAAAATCGACCTTTATTATTACTGCAATCGAGGAGAAACAAAAAAAAAAAAAAAAGAAAAAAAAAAGCGACATCGCAATCTACCGAGCTACCGCGGCCCAGTAGCCAAGCGTTGCAGCTACTCTGCCACGATGCAGACCGTATTTCGGTGTTAATAAAGCCAGTCGAAAATAGTCCGACGCGCGCCGGCTCTGTTTACGCATCGTACAATGTTAATTTTGGCGAGATTGAACGCCGATACAACGCGCGACATACCCTTCGCCGGAATCAATTATCTGTATTAATGGAAACCGGAATCGTATCGATTATATCTTCGTCGATTAGTTAATGCAAAGCACAGCCAGCGCGTTTGAACCGGTCCCCGCTGCAAATTAAATTCTGTTACTGTGTTCGCCATAGCTTGTCCTCTTAATTTTTTGTTAGATAGAGGGTTCGTAAGTTTATCCCAATAAACATAATTTACATCTATTATTGTCTATTAGCAAGGACTTGAATAAAGGGTAGGTGAATGCGAAAGAAAACGCCGTGAATTTGTTCCAACTGTTCCATCCAGCTGCGTACATGATGAATTAGATACATATTTGCAAATGGTACATACACTGAGACAGAACTAAATCGTCCGTCTAGTAGATGATAGCATAACTGTTAACTTTAACTTTTTCGAAGTTTATCAGATGACGATTGTCGTAATGGATAGCGGATATGTCTCTTGCGTCCAGGGATGTGGGTTCGATCCCCACTGTTGGTTGGTTTATATTTACAAATTAAAATGTTTATTTAAAAAATGATGTTGTCAGTATATTTATAAGTTTCCTAGTATCCACTGTCAACCTTTGTTTAGTTTGGCTCTAGAAAACGTTGTGTAAAATATGTGTATTTTGATATTCTTTGATTCGCAGCGACTTCTTTACATGAAACAATATTTTTTTTATTACGTAAAAAAGTGGCAAACGAGCTGGCGGTTCACCTGATGTTAAGTGATAACCGCCGCCCACGGACATTTGCAACACCGGTTGCAGATATGTTGCCACATTTTAATAATTTGGGCCCCGGCTACCTCAGTCAACAGACGAAACGCAAAAGTATAATACTTCCACTTTCCACCGTTCTTCTGCCAGGTCGTGTTACTTCCCCGGACGGACCTGCCCATTCGTGCAACAGCGAAGACTGTTCCGCGGCCCATTGCTAGTTATATGAACTGTACTGATGACTGGCGTGGCAGTCGGCTGACGTTGTCTCGGTTCCGGCAGGTTCCTAATGTCCGAGGACAACCCGATAGTGGCGCCCAGCAAGCTGGACCTGTGCGACGACATGGAGCAGCCACTAGCGCACTACTTCATCAACAGCTCGCACAACACCTACCTCACCGGTCACCAGATAACCGGCAAGTCGAGCGTCGAGATCTACCGCCAGAGCCTCCTCGCCGGCTGCAGGTGAGACTTTTGTGTCATACAATACAATAGTACAATATCATCAGCCTATTGCCGTCCACTGCTGAACGTAAGCCTCCCCCAAGTGCGCCAACTATCCCGGTCCTGGGCAGCCACAATCCATCCGCTGCCCGCCATCTTTCTTAAGTCGTCAGTCCACCGTGCTGCAGTCCCGTTTACGTGTTGAGTCATGTGATCGCTTATTTTTTTTTTTTTACAAAAGTAACTGTTTCCAGCCGGTATGGTTGTTTTCTTTTTAATACCAATTGCCAGCCGGTACTTTTACAACTGTTATACATAAGTCAGCGATAATTCAATATGGTCAATAACAGGTGGTAGAAGCATTAACATAGTACATGATGTTGATCCTTGCTTTGTAAAAAAGCTGTTATTTGTTATGTTATCCTTGTGCAATATGATCCCCGCAGTCGTTGATAGATTTTACAATATCTAACAGACCCAACCAATTTATATTCAAAGATGAAATATAAACACTCTTTCGCTTTTTATACATAGTCTGTGGATTTTGTAAAAACTTTCATTTTACATTTATTTCAATTACCTTCTTAATATGTAAATATACTAATTATGTTACCTAATGTTAATTAATTCTTTATTAATTTATTCATGTGTTAAATGTTAATTAATGCTTAATATGTTTATTCTATTCATATAATTTATTTTTGTTTAGATGAAAACATAACTGTTTATATTCGAGAATCCCTTATATTTTCGCAATCAAAAATAACACAAAATGATTAATAATTGCGTTTTTTCAAAGTGTATTCGCTGTAACTATACGTAACTTTATTAAATAGAGAAAATACGAAACTGTTCAGAACGTAGTGCGAATATAATTTCGTTGTGGTCGGGTTAATTTGGCGATGTCGTTGACTCTTTCCCTCGATGTCGAAAACGCTACATCGTACGTATAGAGTGCAGCGGATGAGAAATGAATGAACATTTATAAAGCAATAAACAATGCGAATGCATCGAACCGCAGTAAATGAAGGTCATCTTTAAGCTTTTATGATTGTATATTTTATTTTATATTAAGTAAGTAAAAAAGCCGTGATAGTTCTGTGTCTGAGCGCACGTTTTTAATTCAATATACTCGGGCAACCTGAGTTCAAATCCGGGTGCTAGAACTAATGAACTTGTCAATCTTAAGTGCTCAGTTATCACGTGCTCAGCGGTGAAGTAAAACATCATGAGTAAACCTGAATATTTTCGAAAAAATAACGAATAACAAATATTTTGTATTAGTTGAATTTGTATGTGAAGTCTGCCAATCCGCAGTGGAGTGACGTGGAGGACAATGCCATAATACTCTATGTACAGAGGAGACCTGACATTGCTTGCTATCGAAATAACCTGTGTAAATACAATAGCATACAAATCTATTCGGACAGAAATCTAAACCAAAATTATTTTTCAGTATAAACGCCTTCTGATTTTTTCTTAAGTGCCTGTATCGATAAAAATAGATCGAAAGTACATAAAAATATGTTCTTGCAAAAACAGGACCTCTTTGCTGATTATGTTACCGGTTACTAAAATGATTACGCTTACTGTTTCAAAAGTAAAGCTAGCAAGTATAGTTTTTTTTTTCAAGGTATTATTATAATTTAGTGGGAAAACTTGGCAACAAATTGTATCAAACATTGTAGAAATAAAAGTATTTTTATTAAAAAAAAAGTGAAACCAAATGTCAACGGCCGGCGGTTAGTACTTAACATCTGATGCCGGCCAGCTCGTTTTCCGCCTTCTACATAAAAAAGAAAAACACCTTAGCCACTATTATTATTTAAGTTACCATGTAGAGATGTTCATTCTTAATGATAATTCTGCTTCAACTCTTGACTTTCCGTGTTTATTGAGTTCCAAGTGTAATCGTAAGTTTTTTTAGTCCATAACCTGTCTGAAATTACTGTGCACGCGTTTAATAGTGTATATTTGACGACCCGAATGCCGTTGTGGGTAGTGTACCTGCCTCCTGCGCTGTGGGTTCGATCCCCACTACTGGATAAATATTGTGTGATGCACATAGTATTTTTATAGTGTCTGGGTGTTAATATATGTATAATATGTATTTATTTACAAAAGAAAAGTATGTTTAAGTATGTTTATCAGTTTTCTAGTACCCATAGTAAAAGCTTTGCTTAGTTTGGGACTAGAGAATGTTGTGTAAAAATGTGTCCTAAAATATTTATTATTTATTTATGTTATGTCGATGCATCCGTCGACTGCAGCGTCATCTCCAGTTTCTAAACGTGTATCTAATACCATGATCGCGCGATACCATATCTTGTATATTCAATAACTGCTTTGAGTGTTTTTCCCTTTTCAACCGACTTCAAAAAAGGAGGAGGTTCTCAATTCGGCTGTATTTTTTTTAATGTTTGTTACCTAACAACTTTCGATTGAGTGAACCGATTTTAAAGATTCTTTTTTTTTATTTGAAAACTGGTGCTTCCCATGTGGTCCCATATTTTTCTACTTAGGGACCTGCTGCCCAACAAGTTACTAGTCGAGAGACAATAAGTATCTAAGGCACAAACCTACTTGTGTATACCAACCTACTGTTATGTATATATAGGCTGTGCGTCAATACTTTAAATCGAACCACAGCTTAAGTTATTGAAATAGAAATATATGTTGAGCGTACTGAATAAGATGACATCAGTGAGTGCATTCCTTCGCACAAATCCCCCGGCAGACATCCTCATCTCGCGTCCCGTGCGTTTGGGATTGCCTTTCAATTACTACCGAGTGAGCACCGGCGAATTTGCATTACTCTAACCTATGTCAGTAAATATGCGAGCCAGGAGCGCCGTCATGCAATATGCAGATTAGGAACGCCTCTCTAGCAGGCCGTACACAGTTCTGTGTGTTTCATGTTTGCGTATCCAATTTATATACCTATAGATCTGATTGATCAAACTATGGTAGTAAATAGACTTTAGTACCAAGTAATTTTAACTGACTCCAAAAAGAGGTGGTTCTAATTCGGTTGTGTTTTTTTATGTTTGTTATCCCAGAACTCAGTCATTTATTAACCGATTTTTTTAAATTATTATTGCATCTGGTTCGTTTTAGCTCCTATGGAGCCCCAAAATAATGACCTTGGAGTCCGGATATATATCAGGAAAGTCACAAAGATCGAATAGAAAATGTATAGTGAGATGAAGTCGTGCTTTGTTTATTCCTTACAATGACCTGCGTGGCGTTTAAAAATTGTACCTGTGAGTGAAGAGTAAGAGACGAAGCTAACTGACAGATTACGTAATTTTCAATTGCGACATTCTCAAACATTCCCGACGGTTACCGCTCTCCACCCCAAGTATATCTTATCAATAAATTTTTATGCGTTGTATTGAAAATTCCTCGGTGAGACAGCGACATTTCTTGCTGATGCATTAGTGGACCGACGAATTATTATACTCTTCCTAGATATGAAGGCCTTATATACATAATATAGAATTATTTGTACTTTTGCATTTCTGCTGACACCTGAAGTAACCGCGGTCCGCCCACTTAAGTGGGCCCCTGGTTCTTCATATCCATATGGGGCGGCAATAATTTAACATCAGGCGATCTGCCTAGTCGTTTGTTAATATCACAAAAAATATTTCTGTCAATATTAACAAACGAGACGACATAACATCGCTATGTTTGTTGGCGTAGAGTGAACTCTACAAACTCAGCCAATCACTTCTTGTATTATATCCAACCTCATAAATTAGCAACTCTAGGGTCAACAATTTATTTGCGGGTTCGTTCGTATTGTTGAAGCTACCGCTGCTATTTGAAATTCTATTCTGCGTCAGACTAACTGAATAATTTATTCATTACGATAATTTGTTAAATAAATCAGCAAACCCTCATTTGTCCCGTCACATTTTATGAATTTACATGCAATTAATACAGAGCTTTCAAAAGAATCAAGTCTTCTTCGGGTGTCCCTTGTGTGAGTTTCTTTGCAAACAACCCAATTTGTCCTTCTTAAGGCCGTTTATTTTATTGTACCATTTGAATTCGTTACCGAAATCTTGGCACGGCTTTGTCTCTGTTTCATTCCCGTTTAATGTATTTTATCTTTAATCTTAACGTTTCCCTTATCTTACGTACTCGTGTACATTTAATGCGAATCGTTTCATTAACAAATTTATATATTTAAATAGCATCGTTACGGTCTCAGTTTGTTTATTTTGTTCATTCATTTTGTTTATATGATTACGTCGTTTTACATTGCTACACAATTAATCGTGTGAGTTGGCATTAAACTGGCAATATCTGATGAAACTGGATATTTTTATGTGAAAAGTTAACAATCTAGCAGGCAGTTCACCTTCTGTCCAGTGGTTACCGCCGCCCATGGGCATCTACGGCGCCGGACGGGTTGGCGTTGACAACTATTGAAGAAGTGGGGCCAGTTGCCTCATTCACTAGACGAAACGTTTAAGTATAATACTTCCAATTCTGGCCGGTCTTCTGTTAGGCCGTGGTGCGTTCCCGGACGAGCCTGCCAACTGGTGCAACAGCAGAATCTTGCATAACCCTACCCTATCTAATAACTAAAGTGCGGCCAGATATTTCATTCGAAATTCAATAAAATAATAAGTCTAAAATAATCATAGATGTTTCTAATATTTTATGAAACCTATTTATAAGTAAATTTAAACTACGCAAATATGTCCCACTGCTGGGAAAAGGCCTCCATGGTGCAGAGGAGACTATGTAAACCATTAGACGGACTTTACATTTAGTGCAGTTTTGTTGATGAGGCTTCACCGAAGATTACTTTGTAAAAAAACAATATAATAATGAAATAAGAAAAAAAAAAGACTTCTAAATGTTTGTATAACTTGGTTTCTTAATAAAATTATGCATATGCCTCAGGGTTGTCGAACTTATCTTTTCATCACGCATTGTATAAAACGAAGTTAAATTTAAGTTAATAGCCTTATTAAAAGTTTTCTTGTTTCAAACTCGTTCGTTTGCATGTCTCTTGAGATAAACTTAGTTCTTGTCACAATGTCAGTTGAGCTAAGCCATATTTTATGTACCCTATCACTTACGGCTGCATGCACAAGTAATTTGTACAAATGTCTATACTTTGGGTTACTTTACACACCCGATGTTTTATTTTCAGGTTTAATTAATAGTTAGACGTCGGTAATCGTCCGATTGTCACAATCGTCACATTTAATATAGTACTTATCTTTCCTTAAGCCAAATACAACTATTAGATTTACCTTAGCCAAACATAGTATTTAATATCAAAAAGTATTTCAAAAACGAGTTGTTATTCTGTAATTTAAATTTAAAGATTGTATTGAGTTTTCATTTTTTATACTCATCTTGTGAACAAATTAGTTAGGTATATTGTATAATATTTTGATTGATTTCATTGAGGGGATTTAATCGAGGGGGCTCCTTAGATTTATTATCGGCCAAATGAAGCGAAAAGCGAAGGTACGCTTTTTCGCTTTCAACGTCTCAATTTATGAGTGTAATATTTCTAAATAGACTATTAAGTGCTTTACAAGCAAATGGAAGCATTTAATATTAATAAATGTATTTTTATGCTTATGAGAAATTTTTGTCGGATGGCTTTGTGAAAAATACAAATCATCCGAGGATACAAATACAGGCCGTAGTCTATTTGTAAGTATTCAAATCATATTGTCTAAGGTAGTTGGTATTGGCTAGATATTCCGAACGGCTGCCTACCAGACGTCAACCAACCTTGGACACAAACATCCAGACCCGGAACAACAATCTGCGGCTATCGTGAACTTTCTTCGTGTGCGTGAATCGAAACGTTTTTTTTTTGGATAACTGATATTACGCTTTCCACATTCTTAGCCTATTAAAGCTTCATCGAACGCAGAACCGGTGGGCTAGCCACAACCCGAACCACCAGTTTGAGGCCCTCCTGAGTGGGTAGGGCTGGAATCGAACCTTAACGGTGGTAGGGCCACGCAGCAGCCTCGGCTGTTGCACGAATGAGCAAGGTCGTCCGGGTAAGTACCACGACCTCACAGAAGACTGGCGTAAATCGGAAGTATAATACTTTCGCGTTTCGTCTGGTGAGTGAGGTGGCCGGAGTCCAATTTTCAAAAGGTTGTCAACGCACCTGGAACCCTCGAGTGTAGCAGATGTCCATGGGCGGCGGTATTCACTCAACATTGGGTGAATAGTCTGCTCGTCAACTTTTCACATAAAAAAAAACCTAAGACCCCCGACATTGCGCGCAATTAAACGGTGGTGCGTCGCGCAGGTGCGTCGAATTGGACTTCTGGAACGGCCGCACCGAGGAGCCGGTGATTGTGCACGGCTACACCTTCGTGCCGGAGATCAGCGCGCGCGAGGTGCTCGAGGCGATAGCCGAGAGCGCCTTCAAGACCTCCGACTACCCGGTGATACTGAGCTTCGAGAACCACTGCAACCCCCGCCAGCAGGCCAAGATCGCGAACTACTGCCGCGACATATTCGGCGACATGCTGCTCGACAGGCCGCTCGACTCGCACCAGCTGGAGCCAGGTAAAGTAAATCTAAGGGACGGCCTGTTTACATGTCCCACTGCTGGGCATACGCCTCCTCTGTACGGAGGGTGTCAGGGCGTAGTCCACCACGCGACCGCACTGCGGATTGGCGGACTTCACATATCTTCGAAATATTTTTTTTGTTATTATATCGAAAATATGCAGGTTTCCTCACGATGTTTTCCTTCACCGCCGAGCACATGATAAGTCAGCATTTAAAATTAACAATTTCATTGATGCTCGCACCGGGGATCGAACGCAGGTTGCTCGAGTATTTTGAATTAAAGGCGAGCGCCCGGACACTGAGCTATCACTGACATTGATGTTTGCAAACAGTTAATACTTTCGAATCTTCATACTTGTCCTACTTAAAGCGTGTTTCGCGGTGAGCTTTGCCGTGTACACCGGGTATATAATATAATACAAAAGTGAGACATAAAAACATAATTTATGCTCGAAAAAATTTCCAAAATCTTACACGAACGCCGCTGACAATCGAACCCTTTTTTTTTCTCCCATAAAAGTTCTTTTGTCGTTTAATTTAATGCATTATGGTTTGCACCTATAATTGAGAAGGAACTCACCAAGCCTGTAATTAACATATTATGTGAAAGTTGTCTAAAATAGTGTTAATCTTTTTGGTATAACTAAAATAAATAAATTTTTAAATAGCAGTCCGTTCTCCCATCCACTAGCCCACAAGTCTTACAAACATATTAAGTGTGTATTTAGTTATTACAGGCTCATTCTGCTCTAGATTGTATTTGATAATTTAATATTAATCGCTTAGATTTGATCCTTGTCGGGATGAATTAAAAAGACTTACAAATTTACAGTTGCGAGTTACATAATTTTCAACCGATTTCAAAAAAGAACGAGGTTCTCGAATTTGACTATTTTTTCATTTTTAAATAATACGAAAGTTATGAGGTCGAAAGAAGTTATAAGGTAGGTAACAAACCTCATAATTTTCGACTGGGTGGGCCGATTTTGTTGATTCTTTTTTAATTGAAAGCTGTTGCTTCCCATGCGGTCCCATATAATTTAATTGGTATTGGATCTTGGGCTCAAGAGATTCTCCTGAAAATCAATTATACAAGTTCTAGTGTTAATAACGAAAAACAAAACCTACTTCAAATCTCGCTCTGTATTCATGTTATATATCCGTAAATCAATTAAGTGTTTCGGTACCCTTTCTCACAGCTTGGCTGTTTTTAGATCTGTTTATTTTACAATTCATTTCAACGATTTGTTCCAACGACACACTCTATTAATTTGAATATCATGACTCTGCGAAAATCCGAGAACCTTCTGCGAATACGGAATTAGACAAGGAGACTGTTACTTCTTCCAATTATCTGTAATATGCATTTCCGATAAATGCGAAAGCTCTACCAGTTATAGACGCTGTAGAACATTTGCATAGTCTGTAGAGAGTTTAAAAAGCTACTCCAGTGTGTTGGCACAATCAATTGAGAATGTTATAAAGAGGATTTGGGGGGAACACCTATAGGTTAAATGAAAATAATACAGATTAAATACACCTGCTTTACGAATTTGAGTTTTTTATGAAATGAAATACGCTTTATTGTACATAAAAGTAACAAACAACTACATAAAGGTACAATTGGCGGCCTTTGCGCTTAGAAGCGATTTCTTCCAGGCAACCATGTTACTGAGGATGCAGTGATCAGTGAGAAGGGTTTGAGGTATACGCTATTGTAAATATAGGTTTATGACAAAGAAAAACACGAAGATGTTTATGAAACTGCTTAACCTATTTATCTATTATATTTTTTTATTTGGCCCCATCACTGAATATTATTACTGTTATTTAGATGAAATACGCCTATATAATAGGCGAAATTTATATTTACTAATATAAAGAATACATTGCTCGTACGTTGTACAGAACCAAATATATTAATTTCTGGGTGTAATGAATCGTTGCCCGGATAACATATTATGTTGCTTCATATTCCTGGAATATATATCAGATGGATGGTACTTTCACGTCTTCATATATGGCTTTCTCGACGATTCGAATCAGAGGCGATGATAAGAAACCTGCATCCTCCGGGTTACGCGTTCGACGTTGTAGCTACTGAGCTAAACGACTTACCTTCAAAGAGACGAAAAATATAATGTATTTTATCTGCGTTATTTTATAATACATTTTTAAGCACGATTTTGGCGTTATCTAGTTTTCTTTATAGAAACATTAAATACTAGATTAGATTTGAAAAGGATATTAATTTCTATTTCCAGTGTCACTGGTACAGCACTTGTTAGATTTGTGATTAATTGGGGATTATAATTAATTTTCTAATTGGAAATGATATCTCATTAACTTAAACATTTCCTTAAGTGGTGATTATAAACAGTCTTACAATTGCCAGGTTACCCAATTATTTTAATGTTTAAGTAATATTGGGGTTAATAAGCCAAATAAATGTAACATAATAAATTTATTCTTCTTCTTCTTTAGCTTCTTTATAATTAAAAAGTTTTCTAATTAATTTAACTCTTTAATGATATTAGGGTTAATAAGCCAATAAAAGATTAACTACTTTATTTTATAATACCCTCAACAGTTATTATAGTAGTTGTCTACTATTAATTAATGTTGTATGTTATATAATTGTACTTATGTAATTTAAAAAGAAAGAGAAAAGAATACGGACCGCAGAGTTTCTTGCCGGTTCTTCTTTGGACAGGTCTAGTTAGTGAACCGGTGGTAGTTTTCGACTTTAGGCGAGGCGTTTCAATAACACAACAATAACATTAAGTTATAAACTGTGTAATTAAAACTCAGAAATATATCGTACCTTAGATGTTAACACCTAGCTCGTCGAGAAGCAACTGAGGAACTCCTCCGTCGAATGACAACTGAGGAACTTTCCTTCTAATTTGCTTCTCTCCCTTTTATATCTACTCACATCAAATGAGCCGAAACGTCAAACGACTTTTTAAGATTCTTATCAATCAAATTAACAACTATTTATGAATTCAATTCTATTACAAAATGATATTTAAAACACAATTGACTAAACATTTTTATACAATAATATATATACATATAAATATATATCTCACGATCAGTATATCTATTATGGCATAATCACAACATCAAAGATCCACAAATGGCAGATGAGCCGTGTTGTAATTAATAAAAATATAGTTTTTAATGGTCGAACGTAGTTTTATTACACATAGACAAAAAATGTGTTACATGAATAGTTGTTGAGCACAGATAAAATAGGGTTCAAATTACTAATACAACAAGCCGAAACGTCAGATAACTTTGAAATTCTTACCAATCAAATTATAAGTAATTTGTAAACAAAGTCTATTACAATAAGATATTTAAAACATACCATTGAGTATACCTTTTTATACATATATATATTATACTTATCTATCACGCTCAAGGTGAAATAAAAAAAAAACAATACAAAAGCAACACAGACGATATCACAAAAACTAAATATCATATTGTGAATGTACCACATTCCTTCTGAACTACTTCTAAGCTCCTTTATTGAGGTCGTCTTTCAAATGAGATGCATTGATCCCCCATATTCATCTCGAATGCCTTACCTCGGTGTGCCTTTGAAACGAGATGTAGGTAAGTAAATACTTCTGACCTAGAAGTCGTAAAAGAAAATTCCGCTACGTCTATGGTTTTGCCAGTTTAAAAATAGGCTCAGTTTAATGGCGTGTTTGGCAAGAGGAGTATTGTTCAATTTCGTCAAAACAATATGTTTTGATCAATGTTGATTTATCTTTGCATATCATAAATTCCTGTGCAGTTTATGATCGGAAGGAAATTGATAGCCATTGTATTCCACACCGCGTTCGTTGACAATTTTGTTTTAGCGATTTTGTTCGAATTTTGAAATGTTTATCGGTTTGTTTTAGCGCATTTGTTCTGATTACAATCGATTGGTTTGTTTTAGTGCGTATCGTTTGTCGTTTCAACGGGTCGTTTCGATCCCCTTTTATCGTCCGCCGTTCTAACGTTAAACTCGGCCGCGGAAGCCGCGCCGCTGTGTTTCCCGCGGTTTTATGGACATTGGGACGCGTTTTTATTGACGCGTTAATAATTAACACGTGTCGTAAACGTACGCGAATGTTCCTGTGGTGTGATTGATATAAAACCGTCCTTAAATTTTCTATTTTTGTTCAACGCAGAATAATGCGGGATTATTATTGTGCCAGAGCGGTGGAGGTTCTGCTGTTGAATCGGCAGTCGGGAGAGTTCCTCGTCTTCACAGAAATCGTTGGACAGAAGTAGAACTTTTGAGGTCATCGCCCTTGCCATTGCTTTTTAAATATTCTACCAACAGTCTTAGCTCGGACGTCTTATTTCATTCACTTTTTAGAACTAAAGAAGTGCGTAGCAAAGGTTATTTATATCAACACATCTTTGATGTGTCGATATGGCTTATGCTAGAATTTTACCATACGTGACCATATCATTGTTTCAGAAACCGGGCGTTAATGATTTTGTTATTAACTTGAGAGTGCGTCTCCGATCTGAGAATTCGTTTACTATTCGACTGCATCGAGAAACTTGTCCAGACAGTCGAATTGAATCCCTTCCAGCTGTATCGAATTTTCTATTTGCATTTTTGTATTCATCTTCTTTCCTATACTTTTCATCCGATTGCGGTAAAGATTTGTTACAATAAATGTAATGTCAACGTCTACCAATTCAATTCGCAACATACATTCGAGTGTTCGAGCCGAAATGAATTTTGCGTTCTATATCCGGGAATATCCTGTGCGCGGTTCGAGGAATCTGAGCGGATATTGCTTGCGAAATTATTATTCATTGGATATATACATTACAATAAAGTCTGTCGTCCGCTGTTTGCGTGCTTCTAAAGGCGAATGGTTATTACATTTGATATATTTCGCTAGAATATTATTATTTGAATTGACTACTTTGACTACTGTTTACATATGTGTATTCGCGATGTGATTGTCTTTTATTCATTTGTTTATTTATTCTATACTTGCGGGCTTATTGCCTAAGGCAACCTTTGCCAGCCAACTTAATGGGTGATACAAAGATATACGAAATAGGTGTGAAAGTAAAGAAGAGCAACTCGTAAACTTATTTTTATTTTAATGAATTTTAAATAATCTTTGATAGAAGTTTTACGATGAAAATCGCACTTGATAAATTGATCCTCAATTCAAGCAGCAGTCAAAAACACTACTTAATGTACATTAAGTAGTGTTTTAGACTATTTAGTTCTGTAGTAACGTAATAAGATATTTTGTCTTCACAGAAACGCTGTTTTTTTATGAAAAATTAATTAGTAGATTGAAATGGTAAATAAACATAACAAAGTCATAAAGGCATAGATGTATTGTATTAGGAACAGTTGAAATAAAATTATGTACTCCTATAGACTTTCTACCGCATCTGTATTTATCAAACGTCCCTTTACGAAGGCAAGCTTCACTAGGAATATATAAACCGATAAAGAAATTCACACCTCTCTATTATTCCTCTCCGTTATTTTTCCTATGATAAATTTTCTCACTGAACATAATCCTCAGACGCAGTGGCGTATAACAAGCAGGAATCGAAAATGGATAAGACAGCAAGAGCTGGAACGCTCGCGGGTAGGATATACATTTGTATAACTTTTGATCGTGCAAACGATGACTGCGTGGCGTAGTTGCCAAGGTATTGGCCTCGGCGTCGCGGGTCCTGGGTTCGATCCCCGCACGGGACCACTATTTGTGTGACGCACAGATAATTGTTACCGATCTGAGTGTTTGTATGTAAAATCTGAGAAATGTATGTATGTAAAACTTCCTTACAACACAGGATAATGCTATTCTACAGTAAGAGTAAAATCGGCAACGCGTCGGGCTTACAGCTAAGCGACTGCACCAATCGAGGATTCGTATCCTTTAGCGCGGGCATAAGAATACGCTACCCCACGTTTTCCCGTAGACATACAAATAGTGGCGCATTATAGATGGCGTGGTTACCATCTCACTTAAACCCCCAAATATTAAGGTCAATAATGGGTAATAGCGTTAAAGGAATTTAAACCGAATAAACTGCGGTTGCCAAGCCGCTCGTCAAAGGTGGCAATTACGGAACCGCCCCCCTTCATCCAGTATGTAGTGGAGACCCACCTCCAGCATTTAACTAAATGGACATGCTTCTAGTAAGTACTTGATCGTGAACAGGAGGGGAACTGCCGCCGCCTTCACTGCTTCGCCACAAGATCATAATAAAGAACAAGAAGAAACACCACCACCACCACAAGAAGGAGGGCTCGATGGGCTCCGATGACGCAGAGGCGCGGGAGCAAACGCTACCGCAGGGCAACGGGGAGATCGCCCACGGACCGGTATTCCTTTCAGCTATATCATCACTACATAGTGTAAAACAAAGTCGTCCCGCTGTCTGTCTGTCCCTTTGTATGCTTAGATCTTTAGAACTACGCAACGGATCTCGATGCGGTTTTTATTAGATAGGGTGATTCAAGAGGAAGGTTTAAATGTATAATACATTGCACCCGTTCGAAGCCGGGGCGGGTCGCTAGTTACTGCTAAGTGAAAATATGTCTGTAAAACAGAATGTGTATGAAATAATAATATTGAAAATTGGTGCTATTACACAAATAAATTAAACAGGTCATATGTTTTTAAAAAAAAGAGTACAAATATTGTGACTGAGAATTTAATATCTATTTAAAAAAATTGCTATCGCTTTTGCTATATATTTCGAACGTTTCTATTGCTTTGAAACGCTAAAATCTCTTTTTTAATGCGAAAGGTTGGCGAGCGCACCATTCACCTGATGTTAAGTAAATACCGCCGCCCACGGACATCTGCTACACCCGAGGGTTGCAGATGTGTTGACAGCCTTGTGAAAATTGGGCGCCGGCTACCTCACTCACCAGACAAAACGCGAAATTTATATTTCCACTTCACGCAGGTCTTCGGTGAGGTCGTGGTACTTACCCGGACGAGCCTGCCAATTCGTGCAACAGCTGAGGCTGCTGCGTGGCCCTACCACAGTTTAAAGGCCTCGGCGATGCCTACGATCCCGTGGCATTTGTTGCGGCTCGCGCGCGGCGGCACCTTAGATCTCGTGGCATTTGTTGCAGCTCGTGCGACAGGGCTCCAAGGAGTCGTCGGAGTCCTCCGAGTCGGAATCGTCCTCCGGCGAGGAGGAGGGCGAAGTCCCCTGTGAGGGCGCCGGGGGCGTAGCGCCCGGGGTGGCGCCGGAGACCCACGCCGCCGCCGAGATATCGGCCCTCGTCAACTACGTGCAGCCGGTGCACTTCAGCTCCTTCGAGAACGCTGAGAGTGAGTATACCGTGACCCATCCTCCTGTCCTTATCTCACCTAGGTGACTGGCAACAGTGCAAAGTGGCCTCGAGCTGCTGTAAAATGGTTAGGGGGAAGGTTTATCTTTCTACGAGGGTTGCTCATGCTCAGTATAGAGGGACGCCGGTGCGTTCGTGTGGCCACCGATGAGGTTTTACCGCCAGCTCGTATGCCAACTTCTCACAAATAAAAGGTAACAAGTTCTCACGACATTTAACACTAACGCGGTAGGCGGATATACAAAGTCATAGGATACAAAGTCATTTAGCGAGTTCATTCAAATTCTAAAATTAACGTCCTAACAAGGCAAACAATTTCTTTTTAAAAACATTAAGGGAATCGTCGAAAATATCCAGTTCGGCGTTTGATGCAAATAAATGATTGTATGCAGACAACGAAAAAAATTAAAAATCTAAATCGGAGAAATGCTGAATAGTTTTGTAATACGAGATCTAGGATACTTGTACGGGACTATGATGCTTACTCTCTCACGTACAGTCCTGTGTACACCAATCAGAATAATGATGAGTTCGTGTATTGTAATGTATTCTCCGTCGCGCAGAGAAGAACCGATTCTACGAGATGTCCTCGTTCGACGAGAAACAGGCCACCACGCTGCTCAAAGAGCGCCCCATAGAGTTCGTCAACTACAACAAGCACCAGCTGTCGCGCGTTTACCCGGCGGGGACGCGTTTCGACTCGTCCAACTTCATGCCGCAGGTGATTGAACATGACATTTCTATTTATTCACTTAATTACTGATTCATTCGTTCGTTCACTCGTTCTTTCAATCAACCATTCACTCATTCATTCATTCATTCATTCATACATACATACTAGTATATACATGCATACATCGATTTATTTATTCTTTATGCACAAGAATTTGGACAAAGGGGTACTTAGTGCTCTCAGCATTATCTTACAGTCAACCTTTTTTTGGGGTGATCCGGGGAAATTTGTAGGTGTTGATTTTAAGATTAAAAAAAAGTGAAATCGCATAGACTCAGTTAGAAGTAACGGCCTAGACCTAAATGTCCCACTGCTGAGCTTTGCCTCTATGCAGAGGGTATGAGAACATAGTTCACGAACCTACTCTACTCTACTGCTTATATGGCAATACGATTGTAATCTTCTGACTCCTGACCTTATCACAGCTAAATGGGGTCGACACAACACGTGAATCATGTTATAAGCGGTTTGGCCTTTGTTTGTTACGTCCGGTCGCCTGCCTGACGATAACCCTCCTTGGAAATAAACACCCAGATCCTGTAAAATTGTCTGTGGGTCATACAAATACTTTTCCGGTGTGGGAATCGAAGCCACGAAACTCCGGCGCCGAAGCCAATGGCTGGGCAACTGCGCCACCGATTTCAATATCATTTGCCATCCGATCAATAGGCATTTAAAATTGCACTTGTAGATTTTTTGGTGCCGGCACAGGAATTTGAACTTTATAAGCTTTATATTAAAGCCTAGCCACTGAGCTATCCTACTAAGCAGAAATATGGACTATAAATATCTTGATTGGGTTATTAACTTAATAGGACATAATGGTAGTAAATTAAATTTACGTCGGAGGATAAAATACTTATCCTTAACTTCTTAGACAAAGTATGTTCAATGTAATTGGATGAGAATTGAGATTGAAATTTTAAGGACGCGCTACATTTAGGTCCTTTACGTTATATCAGAGAGAAGAAAGTTACAACGTTGAAAAAGACAAAGAGAATGATTTAAGGCCCATTTACACGATGCCATTTTCTTGTACATACAAGAGCAATAATTGAATGCAATAAATTGCGCGCAATAATTTGTTAGACCATTTGTTGTTTAGACCATGCAACTCATTTATTGCTTCAATTTAATTGTATACAACAGGCAAGAAACTTGCACCGTGTAAATGGGTCTTTACTTTATATTTCCAGTGTCCCGTATTTATTGAAGAAGTTTTGCTTCTATCATCCATTTGTATAACAACTCCCATATGTAGAGATGATGATTGTGTCAGTTTCATACTTCAGTTTCTTCATAGTTCAGACACAAATTACACTCAGACTATGTGCAAGTATTTATGGACCTAACATAGGGATTAAGGCCCATTTACATGATGCCAGTTTCTTGCCTGTTGTATACAATTAAATTGAAGCAATAAATGAGTTGCATGGTCTAAACAACAAATGGTCTAAACAATTATTGCGCGCAATTTATTGCATTCAATTATTGCTCTTGTGTGTTCAAGAAAATGGCATCGTGTAAATGGGCCTTTAGACACACAACGCGGCGCGTAATGGCAGCTGGTAAAATACCTAAACCATCGTTATACTTTTGCTGTCAATTTTTGGGCTACACGTTGGACATGATAGTGAAAAATCTTGACGGTTATGCGTATGCTATTCGTAACAGTTAAACATGTCGTGTGTGTTGTTTAAACACAAGATCATGTTATTTTAAGATTAAATAGCCCGAAAGTGACAGGGATTTGTAAGGATCGTGTAAAGACTAAACCGATAGTCTGACACTTAAAACTAGGTGATACTTAATCGGTGGTGAAAACTAAACTAGCACTTAATTTTTTTTAAGTGTCCTTTAAAGTTCGGGATCGATGGTGAAAACGGCCATTAATCGTCCAAGCATATATGTTTAAATTATGCAGATATACTTATACAATTATAACATTATACATATATGAATATTTTGCTTAATAAACCTCTTAGTAGTAGTCACGATTTAGCTAAACTTCTGATATTTTCGTTATTACTACTATTGTTCTTTTTCATATTTTTGTTCTATGCTTATTCATTGCGGGCTCAAATTTTATTTATGAATAAAAACGATCTTTCGTAGAATTTTCACAAATCCTTGCCAATAACTTATCATAAATGTATTAGTACATTTTTCTATTATTGATATCTGAGCGATTTTCGCGAATTCGTTTTTATGAATCATCAGCCACATCCATTATTTAGAAACGAAGTTATCTGTATTAATAATACGCGCCAAAATTTACCGTGTTTTAGGTACGACATTGTCATTCCTATTGCTGAATTGTAAATTAGCATCAAGAACCGGCAATAACTTGCAGTTCTTAATGCATTTTTCACTTAAGCCATGTGCCAACAAAGAGGAATAGAGGTCAACGATGAGTTTAAACAGTGCTCGAGTTCGTGCTGGAAAGCTAACTGTAAATTGGTCTGTTTGTCTATTCTATTTATAAACGAGAAACTTTTTTTTTTAAAGAAAGAAAGAACATGTATTTATTTACCGCGATAAGGGCGCACGCATACATAAGTTTCTGTTAAGTTTTGGTCATTCAAGTACTCCAAGTACATAATGACATTGAAGAAATATAAAATGTTATATGGAATATATATAGAATATAAATTGTTTCAGTAAACAAACGACTAGAGGCTGTTCTTACATTGTCTCTGTTGTTACTAATTACATTTAATGTCCTTCTTTCGCAAAAAAAAGAGTACCTAACTCGCACGTGATATAATTTCAGTTATTTTTTTGTTACTCTGGAAGAAGTATGACTTCTTACGTGCGTACATAAGTACACACATTTCTATTTGAAATGTAGGATAGTCCTAACAGACCTAACGAGGCCCCGGCTATTGGATACGACCACTAGGCCACCAATAGGACACCGATGCTCATTCCAAATCCTATCGTAAGAGACATTAATGTGATTTGATTTTAAATTCTGGACTAAGGTTGACTTGTACATATATTTATCGCCGCTGTGGAAATCGAACCCACGTCTTCGGTATTCGCGGCCTGATGCTTTAGTCACCAAGCTAAACGGTTGATTGTCACACCGACGTAAATCTTAACGTCTTTTATCTAATTGTTTTTTAGCATTTGAAGCAATGCCTGGTGCATCCATTGTTATATCCTTTCCAGCATACAAACAATTTAGAATATCCTTTTACAACGATAATTCGAACGAGAGATGTCGCCATTGCTTTTTAGAAATTTAATTTTTTTATAGCGCTAATCTCTGCACTTATGATTAAACATTAAGTGCAGAGATTAGCACTATGAAAAAATATGAAGAGGATATGCCTCTTCATATTTTTTATTCTTTTCGTAAATTTGTGATCTCTGAAAATTTTTCGAGGCAAATAACTTACCTGAACAAAGCCTTATAGCCCATTTCCGTACACCCGACCGAAGTAATATTGTGCGGAGGTTAATATTAAGGCCCGCCTGGAATATCTAAATACTTTTAATAAAGACTAAAGTGATTCCGTAGTGGTGTCCTAGTTTTGTCCGTAATTTTTTTTTATTACATAATGTTGCACACGAATTAATTAAGGAACTTTTTGTATTTTCCTTGGTTCATAAATTTTTCTTTATCTATTATTTTTATATTAGCCGTGATAGCTTAGTGTCCTGGCGCTCGCCTTTAATTCATTAATTTACTCGAGCAACCCGAGGTCGATCCCCGGTGCGAGAGCATCAATGAAATTGTTAATTTTAAATGCTGACTTATCATGTGCTCGGCGGTGAAGGAAAACATCGTGAGTAAAACTGCATATTTTCGAAATAATAACAAAAAAAAATATTTCGAAATTATGTGAAGTCCGCCAATCCGCAGTGGGGCCGCGTGGTGGACTATGCTCTGATACCCTCTGTACAGTGGAGGCCTTTGCCCAGCAGTGGGACATTTATAGGCTGTTATTTTACTTTTTATATATTATTTATGGGGAAACCAATGCTTCGTTCGTAATTTACTTACCACAAAATAACATTATTAAAGTTTTTTTATGTTGAAATTAGTCTAAGAGTTTGGATTGATATTTTTTTATGTAAGCTACCAGTTAAAAAACAGTAGTAGTATAACTTTTATTTCTAAAATTTCTGTACAAAACATTCTCACTCGAAAAAAAGGCATACTAGGAATTACAGCTAGTACAGACAAGGCCATGATCAAAGGCTCTTTCATTTGATTGTGAAGCGTTGTCTGTTGTATGTTCATTGTTCACTTTTTACCTGTTAAATGTTTTTGCATGAATTTTTACCTTCCTTGTGTTTGTGCCTTCCGAACGTTGTGTGTTTAATAATGAATGAATAATAAATAAATGAAATAATTTATTTATTTCCTAAACCTTACACAATGCACGGTTTATGAAATCTTTCAGAGAACACTAGAATAGATCTACATCCTTAAAAATGATACGATTTGATAGTACTTAACCCCCACTTAAAATTTTTTCCGTATTTTTGAGATGCTAGGTCAAAATCGTCCCCAACGGACGTCAACAACACTTGTGCGATTACAGAGGCGTTGCCTTTACAATGTGTGCCTTCACTTACATCACTCTAATCGTGTCAGGTGTTCTGGAACGCCGGGTGCCAGTTAGTGGCGCTCAACTATCAGACCCTGGACCTCGCTATGCAGTTGAACCTCGGCACGTTCGAGTACAACAGACGCTGCGGCTACGTGCTCAAACCTGAGTTCATGCGACGGAAGGTCAGCTTATAGTGGTTCGGAATAGACTTATGGAGGGTAACAAAGTCGTAGACGAAACGCATCAGTGAACTTGATTAAATTAAACATTGGTGAATCGGTTGATCATAGACTCGCTGAGCATACTGATGTCATATATGGAACGCAGCAGTGAATTTGTAAAATAAATAATACAATAATTTACATTATTAATAAGCTAAATCGAATATTGTTGAATCTGCCACTGTTTGAAATCACATAATGCGCTTCGATTGGCGACTAATAGTTAACAATGGAAAAAGTGATTTCGTATATCGAAATGGTTCTCGACATAGAAAAGCTATTTCTTCAGGTCATTTGCTGATGGTAAGACGACAAGGTCGATGTAATGCATTTTATCGTTGTTAAAATAGCATAATACTTTGTGTTGATGTCTGGTGCGGAAGTTTTATGGATTCGTTGCTAACGGGTCTGGGGAGTAGCAGGGCTGTGTGGGAGTCCCGGACAGCAACGGGTACCCACTAATGAACGATGCCCGCCCGGTTCACCAGCCATCGGTGTGGTTCTTGGAGCAGCCGGAGTCGAACTCGGGGCGGAATTTTATCCGGCACAAAGGACCGAAGCCTCCGACGGAAGAAAATCACCGCGGAAGCCATACTCGTAGGCGAAGACGAACTGCGATGTGTTGTAGGTTAACGCCAATTTAATGCGTAAGTTATGTATGTACTCAACGGGGTAGCCCGGTGGGAAAGAATGCCCCTAAGAGCATCAGTTAGGATTCGAACTTGGGGCCTAATTTCATCCGGCACGCAGGACCGACGGCTGGACCCGTTCGCCGAGAGCACCGTGGACGGCATAATAGCGGGCTCGCTCTCCGTCACCGTCCTATCGGGGCAGCTGCTGACGGACAAGCGGTGCGGCACCTACGTGGAGGCGGACATGTTCGGGCTGCCGGCCGACACGGTGCGCAAGAAGTTCCGCACGCGCGTCGCCCCCAACAACGGCATCAACCCAGTATACGGCGACGAGCCGTTCGTCTTCAAGAAGGTCAGTGACCCCTCACTGCATCGTCATCCTCTCGCATCCCATTTAGGTTTGTCGTCCCCAAAAACGGTATTAACCCCATGTACGGCGATGAGCCGTTTGTCTTCATGAAGGTCAGTGATCTCTGACTACATCTTCATCCTCCCGCCCTCATCCCATCTAGGTATCTCGTCCCCAACAACGGCATCAACCACCGTATACGGCGACGAACCCTTCGTCTTCAAGAAGGTCAGTGACCCCTCACTACATCGTCATACTCTCGCATCCCATTTAGGTGTGTCGTCCCCAAAAACGGTATTAACCCCATGTACGGCGACGAGCCATTCGTCTTCAAGAAGGTCGGTGACCCCTCACTACATCGTCATCCTCCCGCCCTCATCCCATCTAGGTATCTCGCCCCCAACAACGGCATCAACCACCGTATACGGCGATGAACCCTTCGTCTTCAAGAAGGTCAGTGACCCCTCACTGCATCGTCATCCTCCCGCCCTCATCCTATCTAGGTGTGTCTTCTTCAACGAGTGCATCAACTCAGTATACGGCGACGAGCCTTTCGTCTTCATGAAGGTCAGTGACCCCTCTCTACATCTTCATCCTCCCGCCTTCATCCCACCTAGGCGGGGTTGGCGCAACATGTGAATCATGTTGTAAGTGCTTTTTTACGACCGGCCGCCTGGCCGACGTCAAACCTCCTTGTGAAACCACCGCCCTGATTCGGAATAATTATCAGTGCGTCAAAGAAATACTTTAAAAATAAATCGAACGCACGAACCCCGGCGCCGAAGCCAATAAATAGCTTAGCAACTGCACCTCCAACGAAGAGTTTCGCCCTGATTTTAAAGATGCTCATACACTGAATGTTAAATATATTGATAATAAATGTCATTTTCTGTGATATGTTTTCGAGCTACAAAATTCCAACTATCGAGCGAATGTAAGATATATTTCGTTACACCCCTAAAATATAGCAGTTTGTAAAAATTAGATTAGACTATGACTATCGGTATATCGCTATTCGTTGTTGACACTTGTTATAATGTGTACCTACGTTTTTTTTAGAAGTTTCAAGCGGATAAGTTGCAAAATTAATTCGATGATCTGCTTTGGCTGTAATCCTACCTTTATATCGCGCACCAATGTCGATGTCTTTGTTGTAATGTACATAACAACGTTATTGCTGACGTTAATCAAACACACGCAATAATGGGTACTCCTTTGTCCGACAATCTCTGCCATTTCGTGGCGAAATTAAATTTAACGCGTTTTCGATCGTTTAATGTAAACTAATATGGACTTTAAACTGAAAGCAATAGGGTGTGAGATTGATTGCGCTTTTCTCGTTTCGCATATTATATTGTCGACCCGCAAATCCGACCGCTAGACGTTTCGAAAGTCTAATTAAGCTGAACGTTAGCAGGTTGTTAACGACGAATGCGCCGTTAAATTCGACTACAACGAGGCAAATTGAGCCTTGGGCTGTTTGGTTTAAAGCACATTTCAGAGGCGTCGGATGACTGTTTCATCTTTCGGTTTAAATGATACTACATATGTATGGCGTACCTAGTAGTTATAGTTTTGATTAGGTCATACGGTTCATATAAACACCAATTTAAATTACAAGTGTTAAAGTTCTGTTGAAATCGTTTACTTTTATGTGTGTAAACGATATAGCATGACGCAATAAAAATATTCAATTGTTAGAAAAATTACTGTTTCGATCTTGCAGACAATGGAGGTTTCCTTTAGAAATAATTACGTCGCGTACGTTAAAAAGTTTTATATCGTGCCCAAAATACACACCACGGGGTTCATCCCGTCACCGACGCGTTTCCTTGGCGTTTGCGTGCCGGCCGTTTGTAGGAGCCGCATGCGGCTGTAAAAATCCGGGCCCCCGGTAAGTCTGCGGTGCGTCGGCGTTTATGGCCCGACTCGTGACGTCCGCTGGAGCTACGCGCTAAACGTGTTTGCGAGGGATCGAGAATACCTAATTCGCAGTAACACATACGTACACGTGTGTGTACGTGACACATTACTTATTAAAGCCCCCCCTAACCCCCTCACACGCAGCTTCTGCTGTCCGAATGCCGAAACTCAAAAAGTACTAAAAGCCCCCCCCCCCCCCCCCCCCCCCCCCCCCCCTCTCGCTCAAAAGAACTAAATGGATTTGCATACGATTTTCACCGATCGACAGAGAGACTCACGGGGAAGGTTTAGGTATTATTCGTCCGTCCTCGATAACGTTATCCTAAATTAAGGACAATGTTTAAAAAAATTCTAAAAAAAAATCTGACACTCGTTTTATCGATTCGTAAGAAATCAGAAAGCTGGAACTATTATTGTAATTTATTCAAATATTTCTCATTAATTCCCGAACGAAACCGTTTTTTTTCAATAACCAATCGATCTCTATTATTTTCGCCTCACTACTCCCCCGGGGATGGCGCGCACAAAGTTACGCATTGCCAAAGTATCCCCACAAGATACGGTTAACGCCTCACTAAGATAATTGCCAAAGTAAAGCAATAACATTCAATGATGCTACTTGTTCGAACTTCATTAAGTTGTTCTAATGCTCATATCACTTAATGGCCAACCAAGTTTTATGTTTGCTCTTTCCCTTTTATTATGGCTGGTGAAGATCAAGAATATAATGCGAGAACTTAATGCGAGGGTATTGATTCAATATCTTTATTATTTATATTATTATGTAATTCTTCTGTGCGTGTATATGTCACTAAACTTCTCCTAAACTGGACCGATTATAATTAATTTTTATGTGTCTCTTCAGGTCGATTTGAGAATGGTTTAGATACACAATTCGGTCCACTACAGTTTTTTTTTATTTATAAGTTAAATAAGAATTTAAGTCGTGTGGACAGGAATACGTCTGTCGGGTCCATAAAATTCTTTCGTAGAACAATCGATAAGTTATAATATTAATTTGCTCAACATTTTATTTCGTTTATGAAAGTTAATAATAATTTTAGCATAGATTCTAAAACAATTTAAAGCATTTGAGTGGAATTTGTTAGGTTGGAAAAAGCAAGAACTTAAAAACGTGGGTGGATGAAAGCGAAGATCCTTTATCGTTTCCGGTCGATGACAAAACTAACAACCATTATCTCTACAAAACAAATATGTGTAAAATGTTGAATAAATCTATGAATATGACGTCAATTGGTCAAGTCATTCAAAAGTATCTATGTCTTCACTAGGTATGAACACCCAGGCAGGGTTTTTTCCGTAATCCTCTCTTATATCTTTAGTCTAGGTAAAATAATTATAAAATAAATTATGAAATAACTTATGAAATTTATAAAAATACTAGCGAACCCAACAGACGTTGTACTAGCGATTTGAATCCGACAACTTATAAATAAATAAAAAAAAAAAAAAAAAAAAAAAGCGAATTGTGAATCTATAAACCATTCTCGAATCGACCTAAAGACACAACAAAATTTATTAAAATCGTTCCAGCCGTTTAGGAGGAGTTCGGTGACATACAACCGCTCAACCCCTTTACTTTTTATGTAGATAAATAGAGCATTAACCCTACTTCTATGAAATGAATCCTATATCGGCCACCAGGTGGTGTTGCCGGAGCTGGCGATGTTGCGTATTGCGGCGCACGAGGAGAGCGGCCGCCTTCTCGGCCACAGGGTGCTCCCCGTTTTAGGCCTCCGCCCCGGCTACCGTCACGTAAACCTTCGCACCGAGTTGGGGCTGCCGTTGCCGGCGAGTTTGCTACTACTAGTCGTTGTAAAGGTAATAATTTTCCTTGTTTTTCGTTTACTTTCCGTTTAAGGAGCGTTGTAAAACATAGTATATCCCAAATGCTAACGTTTCAGTGTTTTGACTTGAGTGTCGTTCGAATGAGGGTATATGTTTACTATGAATGATTAATAAGGATGTTATTCATTAAGTGCCTAAAACATAACTTTTGTTCAACGAGTGAACATGTAAAAAAAAACTTTCATGGGGTGAAGAGATCTTGAAGTGTTTTCGTCGACGAATCGCGGTTTTTTGACTGTGAAAACTGTGATTAAATATTTTTATAAAATAATAGAAATTTTATAAAAGAAAGCATCAGCAGCAGACTGGGAAACATGTATCTTTCCATCGTCTTGGTGTTTATTGTATAATTATGTGCAAAATATGTATTAATTTAGAAAAAGAAAAATATGTTCAAGTATGTTTGCCAATTACCTAGTACCCATAGTACAAACGTTGCTTACTTTGGCACTAGAGAACGTTGTGTAAAAATGTGTCCTAAAATATTTATTTAGTGTCCAACATTTAAAAGGGCTGTTACGTGCTTTTCAATCACATCCTCCATTACTTCCGTGAATAGTCGTTTATTAATCACAATTTGTCACGTCATTGCAGGACTACGTGCCGGATCGGCTCTCCGAATTGGCCGAGGCGCTCGCCAACCCCATCAAGTACCAGAGCGAGCTGGACAAGCGCGAGCACCAGCTCGCCGTTCTCACGGACGACACCGAGGAGCCGGCCGAGAGGCCTGAGGACGCGCTGCGCCGGCCCCCGTCCGCGGTACGTACCTATCGTACTGGCGGTTCGTACCAGTATTGCGTGTTTGCGGTACAGCAGCACGAGGTTGTTTACTCCGTCCTTGTAGTCGTGCTGCGGTTCGTACCAGTATTGCGCGTTTGCGGTACAACAGCACGAGGTTGTTTACTCCGTCCTTGTAGTCGTGCTGCGGTTCGTACCAGTATTGCGCGTTTGCGGTACAACAGCACGAGGTTGTTTACTCCGTCCTTGTAGTCGTGCTGCGGTTCGTACCAGTATTGCGCGTTTGCGGTACAACAGCACGAGGTTGTTTACTCCGTCCTTGTAGTCTTGCGGCGGTTCGTACCAGTTTTGCGCGTTTGCGGTACAGCTAAACGTGGTCGTTTATTCTCCTGTAGAAGTCGCGGTGCGATTTAAACTGAAACGTAATGCAATAGAGTGTAATAATTAAATACTTAATTAATTTTATTATTTATAAAGTTTAATAAAAGTATCGAACTAATTGCATCTGCCATCGCAACGAACATATCCTCGTAACGATAACCATGCATTGAGCATTTGCGAGCCTAAATGTATGTTCGATTGAATGCAAAAGTAGAGTTATCGCTTAATGAACGATACGAATCATTAAAGAATTATGTTCTCTAAACGCGAATATTATTGTTGTTGCAATTGTCCACAAACGCGTAGCGTAGTGGGGATGGAAATTGGTGGTAAGATTTGGACTGTGGCGTACAAAAGTTCGTAATACTTTCTCCACGCAGCCCAGCGTGCTACCAAAATATGTGTCGCGCAATGACTTTGATAAACCTCAAGACGAAGTTAAGGTGTGCGCCCTCAATACTAAATGAGAATTCAATGGTTAAATTTTGTTCCTTTTATTATCGGCCCCTTAGATCAGTTGGATAGTGTCTTATATAGCTTTACTTAGCATATGTGGCACTTTCCGGCGTTTCCTTAAATTTTTAAACAATTCAATTATTAAACTCGCATTGAATTAAATTTTTATTTATTTTATTTATGTGAGAGAGTGGCAAACGAGCTGGCGGTTCACCCGATGTCAAGTGATAACCGCCGCCCATGGACATTTGCAACGCCCGTAGGGTTGCAAATGCGTTGCCGACTTTAAATAAAGTGGGCCCCGGCTACCTCACTCACCAGACGAAACGCAAAAGGGCAACACTTCCACTTCACGCCGGTCTTCTGTGAGATCGTGGTACTTGCCCGGATGGACCTGCCCATTCGTGCAACAGTGTTGCGTTCATCCCGAGTGCAGATTAGGACTAAGAATAAAAAAAAATATCCCTGTATACCATCTGCAGATCAAGCCGGAGTCAACTGGAGACTGCAGTCCAAATAGGCCCGGTCTCGGCGGTGACATGCGGAAGTCCATCGACATCGAGACGATCGTGCCGTCGCCGGCGTTGACCTCGGTGCCGGCGCCTCTCCCGCTCGATGACAAGTTCACTAGAGGTACGTTAATACTTCCCTAGTGGGGGGTGGGGGGTGGGGGGTGAGAGAGGGGGGGGGGGGGGCTGCCATAGTTGCCAAGCTGTTGCCCGTAACACAGATGTTATGGGTATCATTGATAAGTAAACGAACGATGTGCTGCGACAATGAGATAGATGCGACCGCGAGAAAGGCTTAACCACGACGCTACTTCCTGTATTGGTGCAGAATTAATTCTGCTATCCTTTTTAACTCCAGACGCAAAAAAGTGGGGTTAAAGTTTTGTCTGTCTGTGCACTTGTATGTATATCTGGGGCGTCGTAGCTTCTAAACAAATTATATTTCCGATTATAATTCTATAACAATTCCATATTTTTACTAACAAAAACAAAACCGACATCAAATGTTTTCCTAAGTAGGTATCTCCTTAGCCCAAGATCCAATAACAATGAAATTAATAATTATGGGACCACATGGGAAGCATCAACTTCAAATAAAAAGAGAATCATCAAAATCGCTTCTCTCAGTCGAAGGTTCTGAGGTAACAGACAAAAAAAATAAAGTCGAATTTAGAACCTCCTTTTTTGAAGTCGGCTGAAAAAAGCCGAAAATGATCCAGATGGTTCTTAGCTATAATTTGAGTTTTCTAATATCAGTGTTTAATTAAATAATCCCCTGACACAAGTAAATATTTATAAATTTTCTTCATATGGTGATATAAAATTTATTATATCCATACTAATGTTATAAATGCGAAAGTAACTCTGTCTGTCTGTCTCGCTTTCACGCCAAAACTACTGAACCGATTTATATGAAATTTGATACACAGATAGTCTAGAGCCTGAGAAAGGACATAGGCTATTTCTTAATTGAAAGTTTTTTTTTTAAAGTTCGACGACCCGAATGGCGTAGTGGGTAGTGTACCTGCCTTCTCGAAAAATATTGTGTGATGAACATAGTGTTTTTCTAATGTGTGGGTGTTTATATATCTATAATATGTATTTATTTACAAAAGAAAAGTATGTTTAAGTATGTTTATCAGTTATCTAGTACCCATAGTACAAGCTTTGCTTAGTTTGGGACTAGAAAACGTTGTGTAAAAATGTGTCCTAAATATTTATTTATTATTTATTTATTATTTATTTATTTAAGGGCTTCAACGCGAGCGAAGCCGCATGCGAAAAGCTAGTATTTTATACTATTCAATTTCGCAGAGGAGAAAGAGAACGAGAGCAACGGCTCGTCGGAGGCGGCGCTGGACGCGGCGCTCTCGTCGCTCCTGAACTCGAAGCCGGCGCGAGAGAAGAGGGCCGAGCTGACGAGGAAGCTGGAGCTGATGAGGCGGAAGCGCGACCAGCGCGACCCCCGGCCGCTCTCCAAGTTCTTCCGCAGGGGCCTCTCCTCCAAGAACATGTAAAAGCAACTTTATCAACTCGTGCCTAATGACCATTATCCTGTAACCGATGACTCTACACGTTCTCGGGCCTCTCTTCCAAGAATGTGTAAAAGCAACCTTATCAACTTGTCCCTAATGACCATTATTCTATAATCGATGACTCTACACGTTCTTGGGCCTCTCTTCCAAGAATGTGTAAAAGCAACCTTATCTTCTCGTCCCCAATGAGCATTATCCCATATCTTAGGACTCGTTCTATCCGATTTTGGGTCTCGTCTATCGTGATGGGTAGGTAGTAAGATTAAAAGGGGTTTGAACTCAGGCTGCCCATACTGAATGAAAAGCGAGCGCACGGATAGTGAGCTATCACTACTTGAAACAAAAGCAGAATTAAGACAGAATTATGTCACCAGATCTGTATGTATTTGATATACGGTGACATTCAACTCCGATTTTGTCTTTGGTGTGCTCGCGTGTGGCTTACGTAGCCAATTTTTTGCGTAAAAATTCTCGCACACTGCGGGCACGTTAGCGCACCGTTTACATAATTATACCCCTATACGGTAGCGGTTGACTGACGCGACAGCCTTGTCGTTGCAGCAGCGGCGAGTCGAGCTCGGGCGCGGCGCTGTCGGTGGCCGGTGGCGGCGGGGGAGGGGCAGGGGCAGGAGGAGGGGGAGTAGGCGCGGGCGGCGCCGGGGGCGCGGACGAGTCGAGCGAGGCGGCCGAGCGCGAGCTTCGGCTCCGCTACCACCACGCCATCTACGCGACCCTCGACAAGATGCTCAGCGCCGAGCAGCGGCACCAGATGAAGTCGCTCACGGTAACGGATCGACTGTCGATTACGTTGGGATGGATCTAAAAGGGAGGCAGGGGGCTCAGGGAGGGGGAGGGGGAGTGAGGAAAGCTGCGTGCGAGCTTGACTCGTCACTGCCTGGCCACGATTTCCCCGCCCGACGGAAAATGATTAATAACCCCACCTTTACTATTTTTCGAAATTGTTTTTTCAATTATTGTTTGGATAACAATGTTACTTTTTAAACTCTTTCAGGACATGCTGGAAGCGGAAAAGAAGGAGATACTGAACAAACTAGCGAATTCCAGGAAGGAGGATGTGAAAGCCTTGGCAAAAAAGACTAATAGAGATAAGGATGAAATACTCAGGATTAAAAGGGAGATACATTCTCAGGTATGGATTGTGCGCACTTGTTTTTTTATAATTTTTTTTTGTTTATAAGAAAACGATTGTTTAAAAATACAATCGTATTCTTATATGGTAGCGTGAAAGTTCCTTTGGACTGTGTAATAGCTACCAATATTGGATATTAGCGTAGACCGGCATGAAGTGGAAGCGTTTCGTGTGAATTCATAATTGGCCATGTAAGTGGCCATTTATAAATGGCCACCTATAAATCTGAGGGATTGATAGCGTCGGGGATCGACGTTGTGCGGCCTAGCCTCTGTTTGGGGTAGGCAGTGATGCGTGTACTTTCGCAGTCGGTGGAGCGCGGCGTGGCGGAGTGCTCCCGGCTGGAGCTGGCGTACGCTAGGCGCCGCGAGCAGCTCGCCCTCACCCATGAGCGGCTACGCGCCCTGCTGCACAAGCATCGCGACCAGGTGAACCATCCTTTATATAGTGCGGGGACCCTTCTTTTTAACCGTGGCAGGGCCCCGCAACAGTAGAACTTTCCCCAGAGGTGGACCCTTCTTTTTAACCGTGGCAGGGCCACGCAACAGTTGAACTATCCCCAGCGGAGGACCCTTCTTTTAAACCGTGGCAGGGCCCCGCAACAGTTGAACTATCCCCAGCGGAAGACCCTTCTTTTTAACCGTGGCAGGGCCACGCAACAGTTGAACTATCCCCAGCGGAAGACCCTTCTTTTTAACCGTGGCAGGGCCACGCAACAGTTGAACTATCCCCAGCGGAAGACCCTTCTTTTAAACCGTGGCAGGGCCCCGCAACAGTTGAACTATCCCCAGCGGAAGACCCTTCTTTTTAACCGTGGCAGGGCCACGCAACAGTTGAACTATCCCCAGCGGAAGACCCTTCTTTTTAACCGTGGCAGGGCCACGCAACAGTTGAACTATCCCCAGCGGAAGACCCTTCTTTTAAACCGTGGCAGGGCCCCGCAACAGTTGAACTATCCCCAGCGGAAGACCCTTCTTTTTAACCGTGGCAGGGCCACGCAACAGTTGAACTATCCCCAGTGGTGGACCCTTCTTGTTAACGGTGGTAAGGCCACACGACAGTCTCCGCTGTCGCACGAATTGGTAGGTCTGTCGGCTTGTGTCACGGCCTCATTGAAGACGGGCGTGAAGTATTACACTTGTGCGTTTCGTCTTGTGAGTGATGCAGCCAGGGCCTACTTTGTTAAATGGTGCCAACCCATCTGCAACCCTACCGTTGTTGTAAATGTCAATGGGCGGCGGTTCGTATCGTTCAACATCAGGTGAAGCGACTGCTCGCTTGGCATCTTCAAACATATATCTAACATATCGGTGTCTCCACTGTAACGTCCTTTTTTGGCAAATAAAATTATTTTCTTTCTTTCTTTCTTCTAATGCAACATTTATCCTGTATGCGCTAATTTTTCGTTACAGAACGACAAAATCCAATAGAAGCAATAAATTAACATTGAAATGTAATTGAACTTACTGACTGAAATTTGAAGACAAATGATATAACACTTTTTAACGCACCTTCCAGGAGCTTCTGGAACTTGAGCGGCTGTGCGGCGAAGCGCCCGAGGGATAAGCGAGCGCCCCGGCCTAGAGCCTTACTACCCCCTCCCCCTCCCCCCACCTGGCACCATCCCCCCGCCCCAAGCAGCCGGGTGGGTGGACCCCTGCATCGTTGAGTTTGAATTGTTTTAGGAATCTGTGATATTATCTCCTAAGGAGCGCCACTCCGGAGCGCCGAGCGCCTCCGCACAGATCTGAGCCACCCCCGGCGTCTGCAATCTCAATAGTTTTTAGTTGTGCTAGTTTGAGTTTTTAGTTGTGGTAGTTTGCGATTTTGATACTTACGCCCATCCCTTAAGGTCTATAATGAGTCACAGGACACGCACAGTAACTCGTGCGTACACCGCGCGAAACTAATGCGCCCGTGAAACAATGCACTAACCAAATTGTTGAATATCGTTTGATTACGACTGTACAACAAGCAGTAGTGCGAGACAAAAAGCGATCTAGGCCTGCGGCGCGAAGGAGACACCTATATTGCGTGTGTACTGTCTAGATCTAAAACGCTTTAACCGAACTGTTGAATATCGTTTCATTACGATTGTACAACCTGTGGTGCGAGCGAGACAGAAAGCGATCTGGATCTGCGGCGCGAAGGAGACACCAATATACTGCGGATTGAGCAGTGATTTGGATTAACTTCAGAAGCGCGTTATCGTTGGCGCGCCCTATAGTCAGCACAAATGTGTGTGTACGATAGTCGTTTTACGATTTGCATTTAACAATTAAGTTAATTGTAGGGTTTGCATTGCGGACTAACGCTTGTTTAGCATAGTTGTACTAGTCAATGCATCCGAACGGATAGAGGAGGGAACAAGACTTTCTGAACGTATAAGCTTTACCCTAGTGCCACATACATAATACTTTTCGTATTTAACGCCCGATAAATAATACTATACGACCTGTGCCTTAGAGGTGTACCAAAAGTTTTGTTCCTGCCTTCGTGGGATGCAGCCTAATATAGTGTCTATACATATCTCGTGCACAAACGTCTGGTCTTCTGTTCAAGTATTAACGTGACGTCACGTCGTGTTAAGTTCGAATTTGTTACTTGTAGTTTGCAGCGGACAAGGTTCCGCATATTCTATTGGAAAACGAAACTATTATGACGGCAACTCGATAGTCATCAGGTTAGTGATATTTTTTTTTAAATAGACATTCGCACACGATATGAAGTCTTAATATATTTGTCTTTTTATTTCTAGTTTAATAGCTATTAAGGGAGCTCACATTAATATATATTTCTGCGGATAGCGTTTGTAAAAAATGTATTACTTTTAATTTTCTAATGTCCGTTTCTGTTTTATTCTTAACGTTTTTAAGATTCACTAACAGTTAAGGGTGACCTTAGGTAGTATATTGACATTCCAAAATATATCATTCGAAATGGCAAACACGCAAAACTAACGTTTAGCCGAGTATGTGTATAAATATTTCCGAGCAGCCACTAATTAAGATATTTAATTCTTCTACTGAGTTATTTAATTAAAAGCATAATGTGCCAAAATTCCATGCAGCTCTGCTCGAAATATGTTTAAAGTAACCACAGTATTTCATTGCGCACGAGTTTGACGCTTTTTGCTGATTGATAAAAACCACGCTTACAATCGCTGCAAATCTTCCGAAATATAACCTCGAAGTTCTTTGTAAGAAATGTGTCCCCATAGAGGTTACGATCATAATATTCAGTAAAGAGATTTATTAACTTTTTTAAATCCGTAATTGGTCATTTTTATTATAGAATTCGACGATAAATAAAGCGCATTGACCTTTGAAAAGAGACAACAGGCTAATTTAATCTACGACTGAAACGTCGTAGTGTCTGACAGAGATAACCAAAAAAGAGAAAGAGAAAAAAGATTTTTCCTTTCCAAGATGAATGTGCAATATTTATCATCGGAATACTGAAAGTATGTACTTAAAGCTTCACAAAAGTCCCTAACACTTTACAATATTTGTGTACATAGTAAAGCATTTGAAATGATATATCTCGATTTACGGCCAAACTCAGGAATGACAATTAGCGCTGAACGAACATTGCATTCATTTCTTTCTCAAGTGTACAGATGGGATGCATAATTATTTAATACTGAATTTAATGTTAGATAAGTTTTAATTGATGTTTCTCAGTGTGTATATGGACTGCTCCTCTATGCAGACTATTTGGTAGGATATGTATTTTGTAATAGTTTATAAAATGGATTCATCATAGCCTCCTTTATATATTATTCAAACATGATAGGAATGTGTTTTCTATGGTGCTTTCACGAACCCTCTGATATGGTCGCAAATTTCAAACGTTAATTATACATTTAGCTTATCGCATCTACTTGTTAAGTCCGTCTGTATTTCTCAACGAAAAGTTAAACTAAGAAATGATCTTCAACTATAAATTTGTGTAAGGTGAGTATTTTGTGGTACTCAAAATTTTTACTTTCAATATTAAATCGTATATATTTATATTATGCTACCAATGTTTATGTACTAAATGTAACGATTTTAATTGATTCTCACATACGAAACTGTGTATTCAATGGGCCACGATTGAAAGTTATAGTAGTCTTTCGAGTTTTTTGTTACATATCTTCGGTAAGAGTGAATGTACTGAGTATATTTTTTCTGAAACTATTGAATTTTCTCGAACTATTTTTATCGTAATTAATTACAAATAATGATTTTTAATAATATACTTTAAATATACTATGTATAAACTGTTTGTGTCACTGTTTTATAACATACGCCAAGAATTAGTATTTTCATTTTCGATGACGAGACAGTGATGTAATGAGGATAATGATGCCCTTTTAATGTATTTATGGTGTAGTTATTGTATTAAATCAAGTGCCATTTATGTAATGTTCATGAGGCATTTTGTAGTCTTACTAAAATCCTCGAGTTTATGAATGATACGGTCACAGTATTATCATCTAATTAAAAGGAAGTGACGGTGTACAAATGAAAGATATTATATAAACACGCGGGATGAACTAATGGATTCTTTAAAAGTGGGAAAAAGTCTTTTTTTTACTTAATAACTTTATTCATGGATTTGATAATACTGCGACGTTAATTTTAAATTTATAATGAAACTTGAAATGAAAACAGGGATCCTCTTATCTTCTATCCTATTGTGTAACTATGTAATTTTACTAAGTATATTACTCACATAGTTTAAAGGGACGATTGTGGTCGTACATCTATGTGTGTGTCTGATATAATTTAAATCAATTACGTTCTCAAACAATTTGGCCCACCTTGAGAATTTAGTCTCTTGTTATGATCGTACCGTCGTGCACAATAATCGCTTCACAAATCTATCCAGCATCTGAAAAATGTACCTTCAAAACAGAATTGCAATTTTTACCGCGAATGTACACCAACATGCAGAGGGAACGAGACGGAAATCGATTTCGACAGCAAAGAAAAAGAGGGTAATAGTCTCAAATTAATCAAATCTAATACTCTAGAGGCGCATTGAGTTGTGTTTTATAGATCCGAGTCTGTTTATTCGGTATTTTGTCGTGGAACTTTTACGAAGTTATTAGCTACTTAGGTAGTTTGTAATAGGATATTAAGTAAACCATGTTGAATGGACACCACTAATTCAGGATTACAGTGTTATTGCATAGGAAGTTGTCAGTATTAGTGTCTAACATTTTGCCAGTGTGTAGTATTTTCAGTCACTTCGTTTGTTTAGCGATGGAATATAACATTTTACTGTAGCCATCGAATTTTGAAAACTTGTATTTTTTTTCTGTCAAATCAAGTGTGGCAACATTGTTTGCTGGTGCATGAAGGCGATCATTGGAATGCTGTTGATTAATTGATTATTGAACTTGGAACATTGTAGGTTTACATTGTATCTTTAATATTCTTGTTCGCGTATAGAACTATGAATCGTCCACGTCGGGCGTTTGTTTCGCCCGCGGTCATTGACCTGGACACAGATAACGCACTAGTGTGTAGTTAGTATTGAGGAATGTTTACTTGTAGTGTTAGGGATCGTGTATGCAGCACAATTAATCTTGCCTTGAATAATATTATTGATACTTGTCATTGATTAAGTATGTACGTAACTAGGAGATTCGTAACTAGGTCCAGTTACGTGAATGAGAAAGTCTTCCCTCGTGCGGTGGCGTGTCTACAATTAGGCCTAACGAAGTTTCGCTTAATTCTAATGTAGTACGTTTGATATTTTAGTTTTCTTTTTGCGTTCGCTCTCTGATAGAAGCTCGTAGAGAATTCGTCGTCTTCAATTGTTCGAGCAAGCTTGTTAAGTCCCAAACGTTATAGGTAAGCGATTGACCTGACTAAAAAAATTAGCCATTGCATTATCTTCCATGAAAAGACTTGACCTGTATTTTATTAGGAATTTTACGGAGTCATGCGAAATGATAATCGATGAAAAAAAAAAAAAAAAACATTGTTATACCAAAGGCAACAATAACGCCATCACTATGCCAAAAATCACACAGGTACGCTGTTTTTTTACCATTTAAATTGGAACGGATATTGTGAACAACTTATCAGACTAATTTCAACGCGATAAAAAAATTGAAATTAGTAGAATTGTCTCAATACGTAATAAATTAAAATAAGTAGAATTGTCCAACGCATTATGCACCCGTGTTGCTGTTTCGTATTACTTCGGATTCGCGTGATTCGGTCTTCCATCTATTCGCCTTTAACGTTTGGAACTTATAGCTTGGCAACAATGCCTTTTCTCACTTTATATATATGTACTTTATATATATGCTCAATGCGCGCCTCGATATTTCGACATGACACTGTGATCTTGTTTGTGCTAGTGATACATTGTAGTGGTGAATTGGATGCTGAAGCCATCGGCGGTTTGGATTTTGGTTGCCACTTGAATGGAATGACGTAGAACTTAAGGGACTGTATCATGTATACTCACATGTGATGTGTTCTTTCGGGGCGTGTCCTAGCCATAATCTATTTTATTACCTTGCATCTGATGCCGCTCTCTCTCGGGATTTGATGACTTCA